ATATATATTGCGAACTGTGGTGTTTGTCTGTCTCCCGATTTAAAAACTGAGTGCGCATGCAGAGCTCAAAATTCACTTTTGAAATTACGGAAGAACAGGCGTGAATAATGCTGATGCCAAATTTTATTTCGCAAGCAGGATATTCTACACTAAACTGTTAGAAATTAAGCACAATCATTCACATTTCAAAATGTGACGTAACTTAAAGAATAAAAATGTAGATTTACCATATGTTATTGTTGAACGGCTCTTAGCATGACTGAATTGCTCAACAATTACTTTTCGAGGTGGGCGGTATAAGTAGCTCAGAGCTTTAGCTCCGAGTGAAATCAAGAGTGCAACACAATTAACCTTTTTAATAACTTAAATTGATAGATTAACTTAAACCTTTTTCGTCACTGGGGACGGGTACTTTTGTTTGTTTATGATGAATTATAAATTTACCAAAATTGAATGTTTAGAAAGAAATTGCATTTTTTCCATCTCTTCATTCCGAGCCCCCTAGGTGGTCAGGGACATTTACCTGAGCTATTCCCCCCTCCACCTTTTCGGGGGACTGGTAGAGTAAGTTATTCAATATTTTTGGTTTTTGTTTCTTTGATATCGGAAGCTTTGGTACTTTCATGATCAAAATATATTAAGCAGATCACAAAATAAAAAGCCTAAGGTTTGTAAAAATTTGATACTTAAAAAAAACAAAAAACGTATGCACAAATGTTGTATTCGTAATATCAAATAAACACATAAGCAGTGGCGTTGGTGGGCACCGGCCCACAAGGCTCGTACCCCTGATGCAATTCAGTGCCTAAATCTATCTATTGTAAGATATACTATATCAGATTGCAGCTATATTTAAATTATTTTGACTAGTATTTTGTCACCTAGCGGCGCCCCTACACGTAAGTAATTAAATATATATAAATACTTTCTGTAAAATATCCATTTTTTTTTACTGTTTAATAAGATAGTTTTGCTATTGAAAACAAGCTTTATATGTACAGTTTTTATTTAATTCTTTGATATTTCTATAATTAAAATAATAAACTGTTTGTCTTATTTAGCTTACTTATAAAAAAAATCTTATTGGATATTTTACTATTGACTGCAAGGTTTCAGAAAATAAAACAAAATGGAATTATTATCATTCGTTGTCGTAAACGACATATTTTGCACGTGCTTTTTGGTACATAATAAAGAAACGATAATAGACATTTATTAAATGTTTATGTACACTTAAATAATTACAACAAAAAAGATATTTGAAAATAACGAGTGTATATTATACGAGTGTTCAGACGATGTTAACTTTCAGATTAACAAAATCGTTTTATATATATATATAAATTTAATTAAGCAGGAAACCATGAGTAAAACACATGAATTCGTTGTATAGAGTAACACCAGGAGGATCATAAATAAACTCACATATTTTAATTTCATCTGCAACAGATTACTTAATAGCCTAGTTATGTCAACGAACACACTTTCACAAAGAATAAAATTCCTGATAAAGTACAATCTTATGTTATCTACGCATATTAATTATTATAATGACTTGCAGCAAAAATAATAAGGAAATTTGAGATTATTGTTGTGCCATAAAAAACACAGTAACTTTTAGGCCACTCTATTGTTGCGTAATAAGCCAAATGTAAAACGTTTCGTATTAGGATAGAAAGTAACTTTTAGGCCACTCTATTGTTGCGTAATAAGCCACATGAAAAACGTTTCATATTAGGATCGAAAATAACTTTTAGGCCACTCTATTGTTGCGTAATAATCCAAATGAAAAACGTTTCGTATTAGGATAGAAAGTAACTTTTAGGCCACTCTATTGTTGCGTAATAAGCCAAATGAAAAACGTTTCGTATTAGGATCGAAAATAACTTTTAGGTCACTCTATTGTTGCATAATAAGCCAAATGAAAAACGTTTCGTATTAAGATCGAAAATCACTTTTAGGCCACTCTATTGTTGCGTAATAAGCCAAATGAAAAACGTTTCGTATTAGGATCGAAAATAACTTTTAGGTCACTCTATTGTTGCATAATAAGCCAAATGAAAAACGTTTCGTATTAGGATCGAAAATAACTTTTAGGTCACCACATTGTTGCGTAATAAGCCACATGAAAAACGTTTCGTATTAGGATCTAAAATAACTTTTAGGCCACTCTATTGTTGCGTAATAATCCAAATGAAAAACGTTTCGTATTAGGATCGAAAATAACTTTTAGGTCACTCTATTGTTGCGTAATAAGCCACATGAAAAACGTTTCGTATTAGGATCTAAAATAACTTTTAGGCCACTCTGTTGTTGCGTAATAATCCAAATGAAAAACGTTTCATGGAAAGTAATTTTTAGGCTATTCTGTAAGCGACGGCGCGGACGGCATATCACTATATCTCTTGAGATCACGTAAGCACATACACACATATTTACGCTAACATATATATATAATTTGACCCAGAAAATAATAAAAATATAACATATTTACAAGTTTCGTCAAGTCGCACAGATACTAAACGGAAAATTTCCAACACACCACTTACATATATTTATAACTTGAATATTTCAACATGGTTAAACTCGATTCAATTGGAAACTTTTCTTTTTATTTGTAAATAACAGAGAAACCTAAACTAGTCATGTACCTATTTTTTTAGTTCGTGTCAAAAGTCACATGAAATTGTATCAGATCTTTTAGTTAAATTAAGTAAACATTTTATTCGTACCAGCTTATGCTTTGATGGAGTCAAATATTAATGTCTTATTAATTCAAAAACGTATTATAAAGTTTAAAAAAAAACATTGTTTTTATAATATTAGGATTATATTAGTTTGAAAAACTTTCTTAAGGGTGCGCCACATGCATTATATATATATATATATATATATATATATA